TCACCATACACCTGAAGTAGATCCAAAGCAGATTCGATCCGATCCGAAGAAAATTAAATCGAATTTAATCTAGACCCGAAGTTACTCGACCTGAATGACCTGTTTGCCACCTCTATTTCCCTTATCGTATTTTCGCATCAATTTAGCCCTCGAAGTTACTCAATTACATCATTCTATACTCTATCCCTAACTTAAAACCCTAAATTATAAATCCTAAACTATAACCCCATAACCTCTAAACCCTATACCCTAACTTAGAGTTTATAATTTAGGGTTTTAAGTTAGGTGTAAGGTATAGAATGATTCAATTAAACAATTTTAAGGGCTAAATAGATCCAAAAATATGATAGGGGCGAAAATGATAAATTGAGTCTACTACAAAGAAAAACGGACCCTTAAGCCTTAATTTAATAATAATACAAGTAAATATTAAGTTTGATATAATAAAAATAGATTCACATTATTATTGAATGTCTAAGCTTTCGATCATTTATTTAAAGTGTCTAACACTGAACCAATATTATTTGAGATTTACCTGTATGGTCCATCCCCAATAAAAGCAATTCTTGCTTCTGGAAGCATGTCCATAACACTGTACAATCATAGATTTGCAGTGTTTCATGAATGATTCTATAGGAAGATATTAGCAACAATGTTTCATGCAATTGAAAAATGGCACCTTTTAAGGAAATCTAAGCTCTTCTCGACTCCGATTCGTCCGACATGAATTATCAACGGTTTCTCCGGTTCACCGTTGCTGTACGAAGCAAAAAATGTAAAGCATTATGAGAAACATTACTAAACTGCAACTGAGAAGAAAATTAAGCAGAGCACCTCAATCTTAATCGCATTTCGAGAGAGTGATACCGAGGGTGGAAGCTTTCGGAATCGACACCCTTGTTCCAAAGGCGGATCCTATTAACTGAAAGTATTGACTAATAAGAAGCAGGCACAAGATGATTTATCACACTGAGAGAACACATGGCTTAGCTTTGTACTAAGCCACTACATTTAACTGCAGTTACCTTTTCTGCTTGGAGATGTCTCGCGATTGCAGCGGACGGAACCAGTGTCAGATCAGCTGCTCTATGAAGAAATTCTAACAGGAAAGTGCAAAAAAATCAGTCAATGGCTCAAACTTTGGCATGAAAATTGAGTCAAAAAGAAGGGAAAAAGAAAACATCTTACTTACTTAGTACCCACCACCACATAGGTTTCACCAACCAACTAAATGTGTATCTTGGAATATACCTGTAGAATGAAATAAAAGTTAGATTCCGGGACCGAGTACATAGAACAGTTCGAGTCGATTTAAACCTGCAATGGAAACCTTTGGAAAGCACCAAATGGTTTCATGGTTCCATTGTTGGAGTGACATGAAGGATACAACATGAGAATCAAAGAAGAATCAGACTCACACTGGAACATGGGTGTGGTAAGACATGACTGTGGGCACAGATAGTAGTTTCGCGGTTGCAAGAGCACCGAAAACCTGGAATGCAGTTAGTATGAATCAGGAAGGCGTCTTGACAACGTTTTGGTCTAAAAGGAATCATGATAATCCATCATAACTCACATGGCAACAATTAGAAACGTACCATGATACCAGGTGAAGAGGCATGGATTATATCAGGCTTGAACTGCGTAATCGCCGAAATTATTCTCGGACTGAGAGCCAAGGAAAGGGGCACATTCTGATACCAAGGGCAAGGGAAGCTGCAATAGGGAGTAAGAAGAAGAAGAAGAATTATAAAGAGAAAGCACATAGCCAAGTATAAACTACAGGTTGAATTTAATTGATTACACACTAACCTTCTTGATCCAATCAACTGCGCCCCATAGAACTCCTGTGGGACTCCTTCATGTGTTGTTACAACCAATACCATTACTCCTACGACATTACTAGTGCGGTTTGAATTACTCGAATCGAATCATAAGGTAATGAAATGAACTCTCAGTAATTGTATCATAAGGTACTAATTTAGCTCATCAATTAGTAAGCATAATGAGAGCAGAGATATAATGGGATTACCTCATCTCCCATTTCCCTCAAGTATCTTATAAATTCTGGAACCTGTTTTTACCCTGATACATATCTGCAACATGGAAAAAGAAAATGAACTCAGTGAGCTGCCATTGAAATATATATAAAAAAGACTTCAAATTTACAGAAACGACAACGAGAAATCAAATGCAGAAAGAGAACTGACGAGAAAGGAGAAGGCTCAACAAAAAGAGCAACACGACGAGGCCCGGAATCATTCTCAGGATCGATCAAAGGAGCCTCCATGTCGTCTTCTCTAACCTCTGTAACAGTCATATTCTCAATCTCTAACAACAACAACTAAACTGACTTGTTTTACAAATCAGGCAAATGGGGTAGTCGAGAAAGAAGAAAATGCAGAACTTTGACAGAACTGTGAGGGTATAGAAGATTTGGTAAAGGAATCTTAAGGGCCTATGGAATACGCAGAGAGTGGATATTCTCTCAAAGCTGAGACCGAAAGGAATATCAAAGGGAAGTTCATTGAGCATATGCTTGTTGTTAGAATGGTATGCAAGTGTCTTATTCAAAATATAAATATGATGTTTTGAATTCATATAAATATTGACATATTCCATGAATATACTTTCCTTTGCTTGTTTTTTTTGTAACTTGTTGGCAGACCTTTGTTACTAACAGAATAGGATCTGCTACTTTTTATCTTTTGTACGAAGACAGTACTTTGATTTGATTGTGTTGTCGGATAGCAATGGTAAATAAGGTGTTATTTTTTTATTAAATTCGAATAATTATGTCTTTAATGATATATATGTATAATTAAAAAAATTTAAACATGTACTATTTTATAATTACCATAGACTATTATAAAAAGAGAAAATTCTACAACACTTGATGAGTACCATCAACGATAACCACTATTAATTTAATTTATAAAAATTTAAAATTCTAAAGGATTCAATTTATAATTATATATTAATTAAACATTTAAAGGTAAATCATTTAAACAATGAAAAAATATTTAGGTTTTTTTAATGGGTAAAATACACATTTAATACTTAAACTATTATTTTTATTTTATTTTATTACTTAATTTTTTAATTTTTTTAAAATCATACATAACGTTTACCTTTCGTTTCATTTTAACACATCACTGCTAAAATCTAATGGTAAGAGTGATGTGGAATTATATTTAGTACACCACTGTTAAAATTTAACGATGCTCCTTTGTCACCTTCCTCTCTTACACCACATATGCTTTCACTTTTGTGTTTATTTTCTCTATACAGAAATAATGATTGTTTCTATCAAATGGATTTTTCTCTCCTTTTTTAACACACTCATTTTATTTTGATTTATTCCTTCCTTCTTAGATCCAACTCTTATTCTTCTGTTTCTATCAAAGTTATTTCCCCCCCTTTTTCAAGTTTCAATTTCAAATAATTTTTGCTTAGCTTTATCTCACCATCTTTTCATATTTTCTGGGTTTTTAGTTTATTTCAAATTAGATCAATAACTGGGTTTTACATGGCATTTTTGTTTTTCCATATCAGGGTTTTTGAGAATGAATCAAAGTTTCTTTAATGTCTGAGATTATGTTTTCCTTTTGTTGCTTTTACTGCTAAAAAGAATGTAAAAGTCTTAACTTTGTAGATTCACATGTGTTCATTTATTTTTCATCTATTTTAAGAAAAAAAATGAAGAGTTAGCTAGGCAATAATGGCTCTATGTGTTGCCATCAATGAAAAATAAACTTATTCAAAGTTTTAAAATTTATAGCAAATATGGTTGAATTTGACGTGATCTGATTCTGAAATATGAGTTTTGCTTCTGTAGAGAGAGAAAACATATATATAATGTAAAAGAGGAAGATGATGAAGAAACATCGTTAAAACACAAGTGGAATATAAAAAAAATTCCACGTTATCCTTTGTTAAGTTGATAAAGTTAATGTACTAAAATGAAACAAAAATTAAACGTTAAGTGTGACTTTAAATTTTTTTAAAATTTAGATACTAAAATGATAATTTAAATATTAAATACATAATTTATTATTTTAAATAATTTATCTTGAAATTTTTAACTAATACATTAGTACTTTAAAATTTTAAAATTTTATAAATAAAATTAATGATATTTATCATTAGTGGTATTCAATTGTGATTATCGAGACAGATTCATCCTGTAAAAGGACACAGACTTGTTACCTATTTTACTTCTTTTGATTATTCGTGGATTTTAACAACTGAGTGATAAATTCTTTTCCTAATGAAATATTCCTCTTTCGATTTGAGAGAACAAATATATCAAAAGGGAAACTGAAAATGCAAAAAATGTTGAATAAGTGAAAAAAATTCCGACCTGCCGGATTCGAACCAGCGACCTAAGGATTAGCTGAAGGCACTAACCAACTACAGTCCTCCGCTCTACCAACTGAGCTAAGGTCGGTTTGAGATATTTGCCCAATATAATTTATAAATTATAAATATAAATCATAATCATTTCACTTTTAATTACACTCGAATGAATAAGAGTCTCCAATTTGAAATATTTTATTATTTTGAAGATGTAATGAAATTACTATTAACTAAACTATATTTTATTAGATATAGAGTCAAGTTATAGAATAATTATTTAGAATCGAAGTTGAATGTTTTTTTAAATATAATTTATAACGTTTAAAGTATTTAATATTTTTTTAAAAAATAGAAAAATATATTTAAATACCAATAGTATCTAGAATTACATAGTGTTTAATACAACCGAATTTGGTATAATAAAATTATACCGAAGTATTCCTCGAAAGATCCCAATGGATGAATTTACGAGCAATCCGATTAACTTTCCGTCCGTTACTCATTGAATTTTTAGATTCGGGGAACAAGCGAGGATAGTACGTGCCTCGTTAAGCATCACCCTGACAACCGAAATGTCCCTATTCGGATTTAACCAAGCGGTTTACTATAAAGACAACATCCCCTTCAATTATCACCGAGTCTCACCCATTCTCGATTGCAAGACGAATATCCTCCGTGGAACCGACCACCTCCACCGATTCATCCGTATGCGTACCATCCAACTTCTTCGCTACCCCACAATTAATCATTCCATGATAGTTTATCGCTACCACTCCTATAGCTGCTTCGCCAGTTGCAGAAATAAAGAACCCATCGATATTAATCTTGACAGTTCCTAGCATGGGTTTGGTCAACAGTTCGTTAGCTCCTGTTTGAGCCCTGCTGAGATTGGAAGCTTTGTCATGGACCTATTTGAACTCGGCTGCGACTGTCCAAGCTGAATTTATAACACATCTGGCCTTTTGGAGCTCCTTATCGTGCACCCATATATTACGCCTATTACAACTACTCCAAAGGAAGGTGAGGTATTCAATATGACAAACCAAATAGTATAGGTATTCAATATAACAAAGATAATGCAAAAAAATGGCGGTTTTAAATCAGGGGGACCACATAGTATCTAAAAACTCAAATGATTAATTTCACAATGTATCATGCTAATGGAGATGCATTTCATTACCACTGTTTGTAGCTGTATGAAAAACAGAGATTTAAAATCATGCCCGGAGCCTGGTGTTTTATGAAGGATACAAAAATCACAGGAATGTGGGATCTATGAAATTCAGTAGCACCACATGCTCGAGCTATTGTCATTGGCTGGAACCCAAGATGATATTCGGCTTCAACTGGCAGCTTGGACAGTCGCTGGGCTTTCTCGTGTTCTTTGTTTAGCATCTGAAAGCCAAAAGTTACCGGTCAAAAACACCATCCACATGCTCAACCGTGGAATAGAGGGGGAATGAGTTGGGTTCTCAACTTTTTATTGATCAAGTTATGGAGTACAATTACACTTCGAATGAGAGACGACAGATATATAACCAACATCATATCATTTCTTTTTACTGCATTATAACGGAGAATATGGGTCAATAACTTCAAACTTTAATAAAATCCCCCATCTAATATGAAAAAAGTGAGCATTTTCAACATTTTTGTTGAACCATGTTTTATAATATTTTGATATAACAAATTAAGACAAAATGTTTTTAGACTTAATTGAATTCAAAGTTTTTCAAAAGTTTTTAAAAATATTTCAAAGTCTATTGAAAGTGAATTTGAGCACAAAATTGATTTTCACGTACAAAGTATCGATACTGTTCTTACAGTATTGATACTATATGAACAATACTGATACTGTTCATATGGTACCGATATCCTAGATAAGAGAAATATCGATACTCTCAAAGTAGTACCGATACTACCAACTTGCTTAAATTCCAAAATGCAAAATAGATACCGATACTACTTTACATAGTAGTATCGATACCATGAAGGATAATATCGATACCGTTAAACCCAACGGCTAGTAACGACTAGTTTTATTTAAATATTACAAAGGTAGTACTGATACTCCTTATACGAGTACCGATACCCTTTATAGGAATACCGATACCCTCTGTACTAAGCAGTTTTATTTTGCAGAAAAAACATCCTCAACGGCTCCAAATCACTTCTAACAGTTAGAAACGACCACAAACTTATTCCAACATATTAATACAAGTTCAAGACTCTTGAAGAAGGGTTAGAACACCTATCCAAGCAATCAAACACAAGAGAAAAACTTTTCACTCTTTATTTCTATTCTCTTGCAAATATTTGTATTTTTTGTGAGCTTTAATTTGTAAACCCCTTCCTTTTTAAAGGTTTCTTTGTTTACATATTTTTCCTTGTGTAGAAGGGTTTTGGTTCTAGCTAAGACTTTGAGTAGAGAGGTTTTGGTTTTAGTTCTAGTTAAGACTTTGAAAAGTTAGGGAGTTGTAAATGTTATTTCTTTGTCCTTGAAAAAGAAAAAAAATTAGTGATTTGTTAGAAAATCCTAAGCGAGGAGCTTAGGTGGTGGATATAGGCTTTAGTTGAGAAAGTCGAACTACTATAAATCATTGTGCAACAATTTTCTTTATCCCTTTAAATCTCCTTACTCCCTAAAATTATCAAAAAGACAATTCATCCCTTTGGCAAAAATTTTGGGTTGGTCAATTTGAGTTTCATAAATCCTAACAATTTTTTTTTGAAACGGGACGCTAATTTTGCATTAGCTGCAAAATCCTTGATTAATTCATTTAGGTTTGGCAGCAAGTTGAACACATCCTGCAGGTTTAACACGGTAGGCCACACGTAAGACCAACATTAACCAGAATACATTCACAATAAATACTCCACCACATATTCTGGATAAGTTATAATCAGGTAAGTAACGACAAAGGGACATTTAGCTTATTCAGGATATTAGAACTTAAAAAGTTCAACTTTTCAAAATGGCTTTAGCTTCGTTGTTTTCTCAACTTAGTTTACCTGTAAATGGTAAAGTATCTCGTGATTCAAAGGAATCTTCTCATCAATAACAAGATCAAGGTAAGCGCGTATCTCTTGTAACCTAGCATCCAAACCCTTCAAAGCTGTGAGTTTCCCGGTGACCTGTAGAAAAGAACGATGTTTATGTACACTCTTTCTCATAGTCATAGTTCAAATAAAAGCTTGAACACTAAAAGTTTTAATTACGAATATAATTAGATTTGACAATAAAACAGAACTAAGAAGAAAGAAAGAAACCTCATTTGCAAGTGTACTAATAGTCGACCAATATGAGCTTGTATATACTCGCCCTAATACAAGCTCATATTAAGAAGCTAAAGTATCAAAACATGAGGTCGGCCAGAGAACTTAATCAAATGCTTCCCTAATTGCAGCATCTTCAATTACATACATTTCCGTATCCGAAAGAAGAAATTGAAGCTATAACCGGAAATTTAGTAGAAGAAACCTAACAAATCGCTTTCAATTCAAACTAAACATTTTAAACGTAAAAAACTTAAAACCCGAAACTTACTCTCGCTAACCAGCGATCAGGCAAACTTAAGAATATAGGATTTAGGGATGGAAGACGGACCCCTCTCATCGTCATTCCCATTTCCACCTAATATTTTTAAATCTACCACCCGTCTAACACCTGTGATGAATAAAATTTTTTAAATTCATACCCGCCCACGCGAGTACATTTTTAAATCTATCTCCACATCTACTATCCAACTGAAGACTACCCGACTAAATCCTACTGACAACATATATCTTATATAATATTAAGATTTATAAATAGTCTCTAAAATTATAGCTAAATTTATAATGATCCAAAATTTGATGCGTATTTAGTGGGATGTTGAATACAGAGCGGGTAGATGCGAGGCGGGTAAGATATTAAACCCATCACCCGCCCATTATCTACGATTGGTACCACTTTTTTAAATTAAAACCCGCCTACTACTAATTAAATTTATATTCATTCTCACCCAATTAGAGCAGTTACAGTGTGAAATCCACGAAATTATACCGTTTGTCATCCTAATAGGATTTCAAAAAACAGAATTACCGAATTAGATCTAGAACAAAATTCCTTGAAACAAACATGAAGAAAAGAACAGGGGGAACCTGCGTAGCTGTTGGTGACATCAACGGTGCCTTTGAAGGAGGTGCCAAGAAGGACCCCAACGACGCGCTTGCGGGAGTCTTTAGCGACGCGGTTGTAGTTGTCGACGATGCTAAGAAGAACTAAAGGATGGACTATCACCTTCTCGATCGGACGAGATGATATTTGCTGGGTTTTGGTCACATCCATTTCTATTTACCCACTTTGATTTTCCTCTTTGAATTATCTGTGTAAAAGTGTAGGCCTTTTCTGCTTGCTTTGCCTTTGGCTTCCTTGCCTCGCTAGTTCTCCTCAGTATTTCTTGCTGCCCAGGAAACCAAAATACCACCGAATCTTTATGGTCAAAGTATCTAGAAGATCCCTCTAATATAGGGACTTGCTCAAATTAGTCATTTTACTATATAAATAAGAGTAAAGTATACAAATAGTTCCGCCTATAAGTCACTGCTTTGTTGAGTTCCGTGATTATTATAAGTTACAAAATAGTCTCCCGACTATAAGTCAATGTTTTATTCAGTCTCTCAATTATTAAAAGTTACGAAATAATCACTCAACTATTCATATATTCCAAATTCATTATTTTCTATTAAAAAATGACGGTCGTCTGAGGTGAACATTAACCTGCTGATCGATATATGATCAAATATAATTTCAAATATGTTTGAGTTGTATAGTCGTTTGAGATTCTGAGATCAGATTTTATATTATCTCAATTAGCGTGTTAACGTCCAACACAGAGGGTCGTCAATTTTTTAACAAAAAAAGATGAATTTGAAATATATGAATAATCGAGTGATCATTTTTTAACTTTTAATAGTTGGGGACCCAACAAAACATTGACCTATAATCTGATGATCATTTTTGTAACTTTTAATAGTCGATAGATTTAATAAAGTAACAGCTTAGTTGAGGGACCATTTGTGTACTTTACACTATAAACAATTACATTACTAATGAATTAATAAAACATGTTTCATGAATTGTGTGATATTGTTTATGATACTATCATTACTTGAACAAAATGATTAGTGAATTATTGTAGTAAGAGCATTTTATTTTTGGATAAATTATACTTTTAGAACTCAACTATCATTTTTGTTTTATTTGATCACTTAATTATTTTTTAAATCATATTTAATGTTACGATTTGGTTTTATTTTGATCACTTACTTTTAAAAAATAATAAAACTATTAAGGTGAAATTTATTTTTAATATTTTTTAATAATAACATGATATTATCTCATAACTAACATCAACTTCAATTTTTTTATTAAATGTATGCTCAACTATAATCTTATTGACTAAATAATAATATATTCCAAGGATTTTGTGTTATTTAAATAAATATTTACATTAATCTGAATCATTAACGATTGTCTTTGATTCATGCCATACTAGTTTCCTGCATCTTGATCTTCACAGACCATTTCTTGTAAGGTTTCACTAAAGTCTGTGAATTCATGACTATTTTCAAACTCTGATGAATCCCTGTAATCGAAACGAAATGCCACCACAATATACAAAACAAAGTTGGCAAAAACCATAGCCGCTAATGTCCGGTAATACTTGTCCAACCGACTCCTGTTTAGGGTATCTTGAAACCAACTAGTCTTCCCACCCATCTGGCTAATCTTTCCAACCACCACCGCCGATTATCCCCACTCCTCGAATCCCCTCGCTCAACCATTTCAGGTACGGTCTCATGGTGGGAGGAACCTGGTTTTTGAAGAAACCCGAAACGCATTGTTCGAAGATCCCATCGTTGACACCAAGCAACACGAACTGAGGCACCAGTACGGAGAAAAACATGGGGATTTCGTCATCGGGCTTGTAAAGTAAACCATGGCTCTTGACCACGTTTAATCTCCAAGCCTCGACTGTTGCAGCGGTCATGCAACAGATGGCGTCTAAAATCATGGATATACCGATGCCGATTCGGGGTTGATACTTGCTTAGGACTCCACATGAGATTAAATGACTGTAGTTTTTGGATATGTCGAAAAAGAAAGGAAGAATTAGAAGAGGGTAATTGTTGCGCTTCAAGTGGTTTGCTTGAGACATGAAGAACCTGTGACCGGCGGCGGATACAAGGCCGCAGATGATGAAGAACGGACAACGATGAAACAACCGGACGACCAGCTTCGTTTCTTCAACCTCGGTTACTCTACAAAGTCTCCACCGGTTTCGTTTTTGTTGCTCTTGAGATTGGTTCGGCAAAAAAGTTGCAGCTTTATCCAGAAAACTGCATCAAATATTATAAGATTCAACAAATAGATTCATTGCTAAACTGAAAGTCTTAACAGAGAACGAGAAAGCTTAACCGGAGATCATCGGTGTGGTTCAGAAAAGGATATGATCGTCGGCATCTTTCTCATAAAGCTGACCAACATCCATTGCTGTCCTATTGAACATTTTGGAAGTAGCTGCACAAATGACCCTGAACACTGTAGTGAATGGGCTTCCTGCAGGGGGTTCACGGCTATAATAACACGAACCACTTATAAAAACCACAGTTGCTGCCGCCGTGCATATTGCCGGAACCCCGAACTTGATGGACCATGGGTTTATATAGCTCAATGATGAAACTGCAACAAGAGCAATTATGTACACACCCCAGATTCCAAACGCAGTCTCATAGCTTTTCCCTCACTGATTTCTTCTTCTTTCTTGGTATCTTCAAGATTTTTCTCCAAGAGCGGGGGTAGGGAGGATCTTAGACCTGATATCCCAAGAGCTGTTAAAAGCAATGCAGCGAAGAAGAAACTTATCTTTTCGCCGCTGATGCACTTCGGCTCGTACGAGTAACAAGTGCCTATTTCCTTTGTAAAAACACGGGGCGTCGACATTGACAATAGCCCGAACCCCTGGACAGGATAACATAATGTCACAATTTTTTTTCTGTATATATGATATAACATTTAAGTTGAGAAACATCTTACAATACTGCTGGTTACACCGGACAGCACGATCATCGGAAACTTGCCCATCACGGTATCGGCAGAATATAACATGCAAATCGGCATCATCCACATCAGACCTCGCCAAACATTGATGATTGCAGCAGCATGCGCATCATTAAGCTTCCAGACATTAGTGAGGTATGGCATCATCAGCCATATGACATAAGAGTTGAACACATCGGAGTAGGTAAGAGCTAGTACCATGCATCGAAACAAACAAGATGAGAAAACTACGACGACGACAACAACAATCAGATGCTAATTGAAACAAGAGATATAAAAGATAAGCTGATGAAACAGACTAGATATTACCAAGTATTGCCAAGATAGAAAATCCCATTTCTATTCCTGCAACATGATCAGCTGTACAGAAGTGTATTATATAGAGTTGCAGACTCTACTTCAAACTCCACATCCAAGGGAAACAATAAACAAATGAAGAGTTGGTGAAATTATTAAACTTCTTTTAGTCGCCACCGGCAGTCATTCTTAGATGCCTAAACATAGATTAATGACCCTATGACATTAAAGATAATGGAAAGTTTCTGTATAGGATATGCATGTTACTAAAATATTACATATGGTGCATGTCTTTTGGCAAGGAGACTTTTGCAGCCAGCGGGACATGCATAGGGAGTGATGGAGTGTCGACTATGAACTGGCTGGAACATCACAAAGTTGGAGGAGTGGATTACACAGCAGAATCGTCCCTTTCTCTTAAGAATCAGAACAAGGTAGTACCTCTTTACAGTCCATATCCCCTTATCGCCTTTAATTTTTTTAACTGATCGATCCCATGTCTGTGTGCTCTCTTTTTTCTTGTATTTTTCTCAGCTAGCTTTAGTTGTTCCGCCTTCCAACTAACAACGAATAGAGCTTCTGTTTCGTTCATCTAGGAGCTCGGAAGCAGCCAGGTGAGCTGTTTCAGAGAATTAGCAGCGTGAGCCTAAATATTCGGAGGTCCTTTCCCCGTAGAACTATGATCGAGAAACTAAAGAGGAAAATAAGTGTGCTTGTATAGAATATGTCATGTTTGTATTTTTAAGTATTTTGTGCTCGATGACTCCTTCTAGATTCATTCTCTGTTTAGGTTTATATACGTGTGCTACACCATTGTTGTTTGTGACGGTTGGAAATTTAGATAGCGGTATGCTATTGCAATAGCACTCATTATATAGCGATAGTGGTATCATCCGATTGAAACCGTTATTGCATGACCGTGATACCTATAATTACTACAATAACATACATTATATCTGCAATCAGATAAATGTAACACAACCGCAACTGTAATTTAAGTCCTCGGGTACATCGTATAAATGCTGGTCTTCTGCTTAGAGGATATTAGAACCATAATCAATAAAGTTGTGGATACTACTGCCTCTTAGGCTTTTTGGTTTGTCATCCTTCAAATCCATCGCTATACTTTCCTCAAGCTTAGGAGGAATCAATTTCTCTTCCACGTACAAATTCAGCGGTCAAGTTCATACTTAACATATTTGTAAAGATAGGAACACACTTGGCCATATGATCTAACTCTAGAAATAAAATATTTTCATCATTCTGTCTCATTTTTACTGAATAATTTTTTTACTTAGATGAAATTATCTCAACACCTATATACATCTTGCAGAGGATTCTCAACACTTCAATATGATTTTTTAATTGAATTGGGTGGAGATGTTTCCAGCCCTATACACATTCCTCTATAGAGGATCCTTAATGCTTCTGGGATATTTTGATTAAATCAGGTGTAGTTTATCTCAACATCCACATATATTCTGTAGGGGATTTTTCACTCTTTGTTGGGATTTTTTAATTAATTCAACAGTCATCTCCATACTCGCTTGTATTTCTCACAGAGGACATTTGACGCTTTTTTAAGGATATTAGTTTTGTCAGAGCTATTGAGGTTATCTCTGGTCCATGTGTCCTTGTGGTGGATTCTCGATGCTTTAGCAGAAATTATTTATGTGTTCTACAGAGGTTAAGGATATATGTTTTCGACATTAGCGGATGTGTCTGTACTCTATTTGGCTGGTGAGAAGGCATCAATACAATTAACCGTTGGAGGTATCTCTACGTCTTCAGCCGTGGATGAGGCACTCGACAACCTCATGAGAGTTCAGTAGGGAAGAGGCATCTTCATCTTAGTAAAAGCAATAAGGAGACCTCTGTTCCCCTTGCTAGGGAAAATGTATCTCTACACTCATAGTAGTAATGGGGGAATTCTTGTTGCTGAGCATAGACATCCTAACATTTTTTGGAGGTTCTGTAAAGCTATGATAGCTAGAGTGTGAGACAACTCTCCCTGATATGAAATTATGGGTTATCCGAAGATATCTTAACGTTTTTCGATGGAAGCATCTCTACGCCCCGTCATGCGACATTGGAATAGTTTCTATCGTCAACTTTATTGGTCTGTATTTATAGGAGTTTCCTTATTATTATTTATAGAAGAGTGGAGGTATCTCTACGCCTCCGGCCTGTTAAATAAAGTAACTTAGTCTGCAGCAACTCATCGCAGGAATGATTTCAAGAACAAACTCAAAACTACACCAACGGCCAACAACAAGCATATTAGAGATCGCCAATGAAGTCTGAAGGCTCGAGAGACTGCTCCATGGCTGAAAGATAATTTCAAGAACAAACTCAAAAGTCAAAACTACTCCACACGGCCAACAACAAGCATATCGGAGACCACAGCGATGCTATGTTAGACGTTGAAAAAAGGTTCATATTGAAGAAATGAAGAACAGAGAAAACGAAAATAGAGTAGATATTACCGAAGTATTGCCAGGATAAAAAATCCCATTTCTCTTCCAGCAACATGATCAGTTGTACCTAAGTGTTTATTATATAGAGTTCCAGACTCTCCTTGAAACTCCCATCCAAGGGAAATAATAAAAAAAAGAAAAAAAAATGTTGGAAAGTCCATGTATAGGATATGCTTGATATACTAAAATATTTCATGCATACGGTGTGTAGTGTGGAGTGTGGACTACGAACCAGCTGGAATATCACAAAGTTGGGGAGAATTACAATGCAGAATCGTCCCTTTCTGTTAGGATTCAGAAGAACAAATGATTCTGCCGATTTATAATCTGCAAACTTTCGGCTTTTTACCAAGAAAACGGATAGCTGGAAAGAATCAAAGTGTTTATTATTACTTATTATTGATTTATGTTCTTAGAGACAACATTAATAAAAGTAGCATGCTAAAACACGAGAAAAAGAGAAAAAAATACAAACATGGGTACGAGATTTATAATTAAGGGGATATTCCAACTGGTACAAGCAATGTTCATGGCCGCCTGTATATCTGATTCTCAAAACAATCTCCTGGCTAAAAGACATGCTATATATAGTATTCTAGTATCACGCCCTGTATATCGACTTTGGACATGTTTATTAATCAATATCTCTCCCTATCAGGTGCTTCTAAGAATGATCTGATGGCGACTCAACGCGATTTCGCTTTCTGAAACTCTCAAGATAAAGACCACTAAACACGGTTTTCGCTTTCTCCAACTCTACCTTTCTTTATCGTTTTGTTTAGCTTTGGATATGAGAGGTTTCAAGGAAACTTACTGCTGAAACTCTATATAAAAAGCACTTCAGTGGAGCTGATGTATCTGCAATAGAAATGGCATTCTCTGTCTGGGCAATACTTGGTAATAACTAGTCTTTCATTCTTTCTACCATCTTGTGCTTGATGTCTTGCATAATTTGCATTGCATGTCCCAACTTTATATATCTTTTTTATCTTTCAACATTTAACAGGTCTTACCTTTTCCGGTCCATTTAACTCCTTTGTCGTATGGCTGATGATGCCATACCTCACTGATGTGTGGAAGCTTAATTTTAATGATGCCGCTGCAATCGTCAACGTTTGGCGGGGTCTGATGTCGATGCTGCCGATTTGCATGTTATATATTGCTGATACCGTGACGGGCAAGTTTTGGATGATCTTGCTGTCTGGTTTAGCCTGTAGTACAGTAAGATTTTTCATTTCTCTTCAAATACATGTTAATTAATAGTAACATATCGTATATAGATAGAAATGAAAAAGGTTGTCCCGTCCAGGGGTTCGGACTATTGGCAATGTCAACACCACCGGTTTTTACAAAGGAAATAGGCCGTTGTGCAGCATACGAGCCGGACTGTATCAGCGGCGAAAAGAGAATCCTCTTCTTTGCATCACTGTTTTTAATAGCTTTCGGAATATCAGGTCTAAGACCCTCCCTATCCTCATTTTTGAAAGATCAAAAGAAAGAGGAGGAAGAAGAAGAAGAAAAAATCAGTTGCGGACAATGTCTAGGACTGTGTTTCATGCTCCCTACCATGATCATAGTGCCTGTGGGAGCTCTTATCTCAATGAGCTATATAAAACCATGGTCTATTAAGTTTGGGATTCCGGCAATATTCACAACAGCAGCTACCTTGGTCTATGTAAGTGGTTCATGTCATTATAGCCGAGAACCTCCAAAAGGAAGCCCGTTTACTACAGTATTCAGGGTCATTTGTGCTGCTACTTCCAAAATGTTCATCGGCACCGGTCGGCTATATGAGAGAGTGAAACGTTCTGATGATGATCCTACTCTTTTTCTGGCACACACCAACGATCTACGGTTTAGCTATCTCTCTATCTCTTAACATAATCAATTCATTCATAGTAATTTTTTTGTTGTAAATGGATAGTGTTTGATGCAGTTTTCTGGACAAAGCTGCCACATTTGTGCCAAACCAACACCCGGAGAAACAAAAAAGAAACAGGTGGAGGCTTTGTAGAGTAACAGAAGTTGAAGAAACAAAGCTTGTCATTCGTTCAATTGGCATATGTTCATTCTTCATTATCTGCGGGCTCGTATCCGCCATTGGCCACACTTATTTCATCTCTCAAGCAAACCACTTGAAGCGCAAGAAGTTCCCTCTTCTACTCCTTCCCTACTTTTGTGACGTCTCGAAATCAGACTACAGAAATTTGTTCTTTAGCATTAAATCGTCAAGCAAGTATCATCCCCCGATCGGCATCGGTATTTCCATGATTTTGGCCATAATTTGTTGTATAGTTGCTGCAAAAGTGGAGACTAAGAGATTACACGTGGTCGCGAGATATGGTCTATTTGACAAGCCTGAAGCTGAAATTCCTCTGTCAATTACTCATTTGATACCTCAGTTTATGTTGCTCGGAGCCCTCGATGGAGTTTTCGAACAAAGCGTTGCGAGTTTCTTCAAAAAGCAGGTCCCTGACACCATGACTCCATACATGGCTTGGTTAAGCGAGGGCATCCGTGGAGTAGGGATAATCAGCAGTGTTCTCTCGGTGTTCGTGGTCGGAAAGATTAGCCAATCGGATGGGAAACCGAGTTGGTTCCAAGACACCCTAAACCGGAGTCGTTTGGACCGTTATTACATGACATTAGCTGTTCTAGTTTCAGTGAACCTTGTTTTCTATGGTTTGGTGGCATTTCGTTTCAAGTGGAGGGATTCATTAGAGTTTGAAAACCCTGAATCCTCACGCTATCAAGAAACCGTAGATGAAATCAAATATGAAGATCCCGACGATCTTATTTCAAATTTGGGTGGTTAAGATTGTTGATGATGCTCGTAATTTTAAGTAGCAGGCCTAAAGGCCAAGCTCTTTGTTCATAGTGGTTGTTAATAAAGTTGGACCTCTTTCTTGTTCCAATTTCCCAACTGGTTATTCTGAGACAGCCTTCCCCGGTACATAGTTGAAGCGGAACAGTTATTTCGTAATACAATAAGGAACTTACCCAAGATGAGAAATAATTTGTTTTCTTCTTTAAACTATATGATTTATATAATACAAACTTCACTGAATACAATTTTGACCACTCTTCACTGCTGACATGTTCATTCCTTTAAACAACTAAATGCTTGGTTTGACAACTTTGATTCTTGTTATACTTGTAGAGGATTTAGATCAGTTATATTCTGGAGGGAGAATACAAGTCCTACGGTTACATTCATATATCATATATGTTTATTCGTAACAATCATGATTTTAGATCTTATTAGAAAATATTAAGAGAGTCGATTCATAGACTCCAGCACCAAGGAAGAGAAGGAGGATTCATTGTTCTACGTTAAGAGAGCTAGACACCTAAAACCGTCCAAAAACCCTTTCCGAAAAATAAACCTAATGTGGCCTTTTGTCCACCGTTTTCCGTCGTTAAATAATATGGTCATCATTTTTTTTTTCTCTCAATATGACCTTCTAACTCAGAAAATAAACTTAATGTGGCCTTTTGACCACCGTTTTTCTTCATTAATCGTTACGGTACTGGCATGACAGTTCACTATACTAACGTGGCAATCCACGATGCTGACATGACAATCTACAATGGTTGATAATGTGACGGATGACATGACAAATGGACTAAATTAGTAACTCAAACATGATAGATAGACTACCACGTCAACATCATGAACTGTCACACTGATACCGTAACGGTCAACGAAGAGAAAACATTGATCAAAGGTACACATTGAAATCACATTAGAGAAAAATAATATGAATGTCACATTAGGTTTTTTTTAAGTATAAGGACATATGATGTATTTTTATCAAAATTTAATATCAATCTTAAACTCTTTAAAAACTTAACGATGAAAATATTATTTTATTACCATTTAGTGATGATTTAAATATTTTATATTATAAACAAGGGTAAATTACAAATTTCATCATTGAATTTTACTTTCTCCTATTTTTCTCATTGAATTTTTTGGTTACTGAACTTTACTTTCTCCTATTTTGCTCATTGAAATATAAAAGTTTTCAATTTCCTCGTTGAACTTAATACATTGGGTTTTTTGGTCACTGAACTTTACTCTATCTCATATTTTGGTCATTCCATCGTTAAATAGTTAACGGCGTTAAAAACGACACCGTTTTGAAAAAACAAAATTTTCACCAAAGAGGAGTCGTTTGACATCTATATAACAACCCATTTTAACACCGTTAACTATTTAACGGCCGAGTGACCAAAAAAACCCAATGCATTAACTTAAGTGTGAAACTTGAGAAAATTTAAAATACAGTGAGTGAAATAGGAGAAAGAGTAAAATTCAATTATCAAATTTGTAATTTACCCAATAAATAAATATGGTTATAGAGATACACACTAACAAGTCAGGACTGTCTCTGTCGCAGTAAATATCCCTTGCTCTCTGCAATTTAGAAGCATATATGGAAAGAGAATATGCCGAGTCTGAGCCTAAAGGTCCTCTCTTCATTCCCCTCTTTACAAAGAAAATGAACTTCATGCATCATTTAAGTCCTTTTACTGCACCCATTTTTCTTGTTTTTATAGGATGAATGGAGGCCCATAAGCTTTCCTTCAAAGATCCCAACCTGTCCAAGTAGTTGTAGATTGCAACCTGGAACTTTCTTTTCTTTTCAGACAAGTTATGGGACTCGGAGCAACACTTTCTTTCCAATCAAAATTTTTGTATATGTGAAAGAAAGATATTCTGAAGACAGGACTATTTACTGGTTCTGTTCTTACGTTAAACATACCAAATTTAAGAGGTGCTGCATTTGTGGGCCTGCCTTACAGGGTGGATAACATAAGAGTGTGAGCACAATTCTCTTCCTGACATATACACCAGCATCATTAAAGAACAAGAAAACAAAAGTCTAAGTTGATTTGTGAGGCTGGGAAATGTAAGAAATCCAGCTGGTTTTTTCAAGGAAGGAAGATTGGAATTGGTCAATGCTCACCTTTGCCAGGATGGACCATTCATGATCCAATCCAGTCCACACATTGTTCCATGAATTGTTCATGTTCTTTGCTGTTGTCAATCATCATAAATTGAGGGTTGGTCTATTAAAAATAGAAACAAAACAATATTGTGGAAATAAATTGGTTGCGACCTCGGTCATAAGCGATTCACTTCTTTTAGTTTTGGAAGAGAGTCGCAATCGATTAAAGAACTTTGTTAAATATTATGTCTCCGTAAGGAAGTAGGTAAGAGATGAACCAGGGAGAGATGATTCTATCTATTCCTTCAGTCTTGATCGAATAATTTTAGAGCGACTCTTGGAGGTGGTACAAGTCGCTGGATCATTATGACTACTAGTTATGGGTGTAAATAAATAGAACATTCGATAAAATGTTCGTTTATTAAGTTAAATAAACAAGTATGAAAAAAACTTTTTAATCTCATTTAATAAATGAACAAACAAAAACAAATTTACGTTCGATTCGTTTATGTTCACGAATAAATTCGTTTAAATTTTTGTTTATTGGTTCACTTATTTATCGTCTTCTTTCATAAGCTCATTTACATAATTCTTCTTTTCCTTTTTTTATTTTAAATATTGGGGAATATGGCAAAAGTTCTGGGATAATGTATCTCACTCTTTTAAGAGAAAATAACTTCAGTGACCGAAAATGTCTTATAATATACGATTTTAACCAATTTTTTTTGGATTTGCGAAAATGACCAACAAATTCGCAACGCGAACTCCAATTTCGCAACACAGTTTCCAAATTCGCAACACGAATTTCCCAGATTCGCAACTCAGTTTCTGCAATTGCAACGCGAATTTCTTTCTCGCAACGCGATTTTCCAAATTCGCAACTTGATTTCCAAATTCGCAACACGGAATTTCAAATTCGCAACTCGATTTCTGAATTCGCAACGCGAATTTCTTTTTCGCAACACAAGTTTCCTTTTCGCAACAAGATTTTCTAAATCGCAACACGAATTTTGTTTTCGCAACTCGATTTTCGAATTCGCAACACGAATTTTAATTTCGCAATAGCTTTTATTTTTGCAACACAAATGTTTTGGGTATATAAACTACGCAGCAGCAACAACTCAAAACCTAAATCCCTAAATCGCAACTCATTCCATCTCCATCTCTCACTCTCTCCGGCGACATTTGTTCCTATATCCAATGACATCCTTCCCCATCTATATTTTTTTTAACATAATTTTATTTCTATATAATTTTTCAATGATTTCTCCCAAATTATCAACTATCAACTTAATAAAGGTATGTTTTTATCTAAGTTAGTGATGATATCTAGTTTATAGCTCGTTTGTTTAGTAAATTAATTTACAATTTGTTGAATGAAATCATCTAATGTTGATCATGTTTGGATAGATTTGTGTTTTGAAGGGTCATGGGAGAATGTTAATGGTGTTTTACAATATATGCCTTTACCCATGAATCTTCAACTAAAACTGTCATTAAAAAAGTTAACTTATGAAACTCTAATGTTACGTGTTGCAAAGAAATTGAATTTAGAGCCTCTAAGTGGATTTATCTTATCAGAGAAAAGATAAAGTTTATTTGTTAACCGACAATAAAGATGTTGAACGATTCATTGCTTACATTAGTGTTTCGCAAGATGATGTTACATTGTATGTTGTTGAACTTAGAAGTAGTGAAGTTGGGTTAGTAGCGGGTAGTAATCAATTAAGTTCTTTAACCCCAGTTTATGGTGCTCACAATGTACAACGTTGTTATCAACCTCAAAATTTAATGGTTCCACCACAATTTCATCACCAAGAAAATTTTGTTTCACCACATTTCCAATACCAAACACAATCTCAAAACCCACAACTAATCCAAATCTCAATCAACTTTCAACACCAAATTCCGGTTTTCGTATTGACTAGTTAGATGATGATGAGCCAACAGAAAAAATTGTGAGTACTAGTCAGTATTCGAAATTTTATCTTGGTCAATACTCGGACTTTGATCTTGGTCAATACTCGGATTTTGATGATATTTCAGAAGAAGAAACAGACCCTGCGTGTAATGATTTTGATATTGATCAATACCCGAATTTTGATGATGAAACAACCACTACCGAGGAAGATGTTATTGATGATAATGAGGAGGAAGTTACGACTGTGAATGAACATGTTGAACATCCATTATGTAATTCATATAACCCTGAAGAAGAAAAAGAAGAAGAAGAAGTCCCCGAAGAAAAGAAAAAGAAGAAAATGCCACGGGAGTATAACTGGAATATGTCAGAATTACTTCAGATACCGGAAGAAGAGTTAGTAAAGATAACAATTGATTGTTACACAAAAGTTATTCGTATCAAGAAAGATGATTGTTTTGATGCAAAGGAAGACTTGAAGATAGCTTTGTATACGAAATGTGTGGAAGATGGCTATTAACTAAAAGTTAACAAATCAAACAAAAATCGTTTCGAAACAAAGTGTATGATTGACAAAAACTGTACGTGGCGTATGATTGCAAAGAGGATAAAATATTGCAAAATGTTTCAAGTTTGGACTTTTTTTTATAAACATACATGTTCAAGAACCCAAGTTTTTCCTCACCATAGACAGACAAACAAAAAGGTGTTGGGTGGTTTTCTGGCTGAGTTAATGTTTTTGAATGACAGGGTAATTCGGGGACATAAAATTATGACTGACATGAATGCTCGGTTCAAGATTAGTATCTCATATTCTCAAGCTTGGAGAGCCAAATGTTATGCCTTGGAATTATTGAGGGGGTCGCCAGAAGCATCGTTTGCCCAACTGCCGGCTTATTGTCACAATTTAAAGCTGAAAAATCCTGGGTCGGTAACTCATATCAAAACAGATAGAGATGGACGCTTTGAGTTGCTGTTTATCACCATTGGTGCTGCGGTTAGTAAATCAATATAATTTTGTTGACTCATTTTTGTTAGTTACATGCATTTCACATTTAAATGATTATATTTCTTGTGTATATTATTTTGTAGATTCGTTCGTTTATTACTTGCATGCGCCCAGTTATTATAGTTGACGGAGCACATTTGAAAGGTCGATACCTTAGAGTAAACTTATTAGCAGTAGCCATGGATGCTAACAATGGGATATTGCTAATAGCTTACGTGGTTGGCAAATCTGAAACCTCTGATTTATGGACATGGTTTATGGGGCATCTTAGGGATTGCATAGGTCCTATTAGCAATCTGACAATCATATCTGATAGGGCAAACTCAATCGACAACGTTGTTTGAAGGTGTTTCCCAGATGCTTTTCATGGACTTTGTGGTCTTCATTTGTACAGAAATCTAAAATCAAGGTCTGCTGGTATAAAAAATCACAAATGGACATACTGGAAGGTTGTAAAAGCTTATCGGGAAGTGGATTTTAATAAACATATAAATTGTTTAAGACTTGTTTTGCCTCAATTTGCTCAAACACTAGAAGATATCCGGTTTGAAAGATGGTCAATAGTACATCAACTTGGAGCAAGATATGATTTCATGACGTCTAATAGTGCATAATCAATCAACGCTCTATGTCGTCATTCCTGAAAATTACCCATTACTATGTTAATGGAGTTTTTTCGAGCTTCTATTCAACAGTGGTACTATAAGAAAAGAAACCATGCAGGTATTATTTCTTTAAATTCGTAACTTATCATATTTAATAGATTTTACTAAGTATTATTTATTTAAATTTACAGGAACATTGGAACGTCGTGTTACACCATGGACTGAAAAAAAGATAATGAAACGTGTTGTGAAATCAACGTCATTGAGAGTTGAACCATGTTCAAACACTTTGTTTGAACTATTGGATAATAACTTAAATGGGCTTGTCGATCTAAATGCAAAGACGTGGAGTTGTATGAAATGACAAACATCTGGTTATCCTTGTGGCCATGTTATAAAAGTTGCTCTTCATCTAAACCAAGATGATTCAAGCGCATACGCTATGGATTGCTACACTACATAAGTATATCGACAGACTTATGCCGAGATTGTCTACCCTATTCCACATCCTTCTGAGTGGGACATACCAGATAGCTTACAAACAGTTTTACCACCAGTCATGGACAGAAGGCTACCTGGTCGACCAAAAAATCATGATCGTGTACCGTTTAAGGGATCGACATGTAGTCGGTGCAAGGAAAATGATCACACAAGGTTGACCTGTGGATCACTAGTGCCATCAAAATCATCTTTTCCTCTACCAAAATATGGATCCTCATCAAATCCAAAGCTCATATGGTGCCAAGCAAAAGGAAATCAAAATCGCAATCAAAATCCCAATCACAACCGGCTTCACCTTTTGGGACTATTAACTTAGGTGATTTTTAAATGCAAACGCTGTATTATGTGTATTTTATGTGTGAATGCATACATTTTCAGTTAGACATGCATTAGTAACTTGAGTTTGAACATTGCTATGATATGTTCAGTTGTTATCACTTATCAGATTGTTGTCTGTTATCTTTTTGAAGGTTTTTCCCTTGAATTCGCAATGCGAAAGTCAAATTCGCGTTGCGATTGTTGCAAAAGTCAAAATCAAAACGCGAAAGTCAAATTCGCATTGCGATTGTTGCGAAAGTCAAATTCGCAACGCGAAAATCAAATTCGACACGCGAAAATAAAAATCGCAACGTGAATTTGACTTTTGCAACAACCGCCAACGCGAATTTGACTTTCGCGTTACGAATTTGACTTTCGCGTTGCGAATTTGATTTTCGCATTGCGAATTTCATTTTCTTAAAGGTGGTGTACCTTCAACAGGTCTTTTTTTGCCTTCAACATAATGCAGATTGAAATTAAACAACAAATCAATTAAACAAAAAAAATTCTTATTTACACTTGACAGCACATTGATACATCGATTAGCCCCAGACAGTACATCCAAATGCTCCTAAAAATAGGGAGCTTACATCCAAATACATCAATTTCACGCAACTCACTTGAAGGATTAACCTGCAGAAACGTTATGACCATGAGATTTTCTACACATCTAAAACCAACAAATATGAGCTGAAATTATTGAATTCTATGTACTTAACCAAACATTTTCAAACCAACAAAGAGTATATATGTTAACAACACTTGCTCAAACTTACCAATAACAAATGGTTGTTTATGCACACTTTCAGCACGCGGATGCAGGTAGGCAACGTCTCGCATATATCTCTCTAGCCATAAAATGCCGAAACCACAACCCTACTGCACCTCTATCTCTATCTGTGGGGAGGTAGAAACTGTTTACCTCCTCTCGTCATACGTTCCAAGCACATGCATACAAGAGAACCATAATCCCCTCTGGATTCCGACGTTTATTGTGGCTTTGTCTCATCTCTAATCATTGTAACTTTTATCTTATTTGGCTTCTTGTTTCCTGAATTAGTCCAATAATCAATCACATCCAAGTATTTAGCCAAATGATCGCTCCATCCCCAACAAATAATATCTTTCAAACCAGACAATGATATGTAATTCAACATGCTGTCATATACTATCGTCTTCAAGGATGGGAGCTGAAGCTCGACGAGAATCCATTGACGAGATTCCATAACAGGGATAAACACCTACAATCATAAATAATAATTCAATTGCGCACATCAAATAAAATTTATGAACACCTTTAAATATGCAAAAATAAATACTAACCTTATCGACCTCCCACTACGTAGGATAAATGATAGTTTTTGCATTACCCAACGCATATGAAGCGTCTTTCTGATCCTTCGAGTGAGCTGCGTGAAAAGACGAAGGCATAATAGTCCATCGCGTCTTTTTTATTTTCTTTAATTTCCTTATAATTAGAAGACGTGACACCCATGCATCAATATGTTGTTTTATAAAAAAAATACATATATTAGTGAATTTAATAAATTAAAAAAAATAATCAAAATCAATATAAGAAGAATATAAGACTTACCCCCCATTCGAAATAGTCATTCTCTTCAACCCCTAATAAAACACCCCACCAAAACCGCTCAAGAAACAAATGTATATTGTCGATTTTGCATATGTCAGTGTAGCACCCCTAGCTCCGCTCATGTAGATAAAAATCAACTGCAGTCTTAGCCCAAAGGGTATTATCCATAATTGTTTCCGATAATGTTCTCATCTCGTGCTGAGGAATGGTGCTAGCCGGTAACTGATACGAAAGCCAACTCTAATCCATCATATCGGGCATGAGAGAGGTTTATCAATATGTCGACATAGTATGTCATGTGAATCGGGCTCTTGAACGGTGGAAGGGGCCTCTTGAATGATGAGAGGGGCCTCTTGAACGATAAGAGGGGCCTCTTGAACGATGACAGATGAATCGGGCTTCTTCTTACGCAGTCTTAGAACTATTGGGGTGAAAGGAGACGTAATGGCACGTTCACGACGTCTGATGAGTAAACCCCGTCATGCAAGAAAAACCCAACGTAAAGCATCTACCTTATCGGGCCGCTAAAAATAAATTAATACATAAATCAGTAAATAAATAAATAAATAATGCCAAAAAATGTTATTTGCATTTTTAGTATAGTATTAAACAAACTTACCTCATTGCGTAGAGTATGAACCTCATTCTATAACGATGAAACAATCTCACGTAGAGCGGCTATCTCATCACGTAAAGTAGATACCTCACCACGTAAAGCACCATTGTCATCGCGTAAAACATCTACCTCACCACGTAAAGACCGTACCTCATCACGCCATGCACCATTATCGTCACGTAAAGTAGTGACCTCATCACGCAAAGCACTTACCTCATCACGTAACTCTCCTAACTCATCTCGTGGAGGTAGAGAACGGGGAGATAAATGTCGTGGCATCTTTGTCGGTCTCCTATCATGAGGTGATAGTGGAGAAGAGGCTCGATGATGTGATGGAATAGGTGATGGCTCTCGGTGTTGATGTGTATAATCGACTCGATCAGGTGATGTCTCTCGGTGTCGAGCTGTAGAATCGGCTCGATCAGGTGATGGCTCTCGAAGTGGGGGGTCCTCATCATCCGTCCCATCAAAAAAATGCCTACTAGCTTACTACCAATCAGTGGCAAGCTCAGTCTCTGTGGGTGTCAGCCTCTGTAATGGATAGTTTGCCTCCTAACAATATAAAAGCTCAAACAAAGTCAAACGTCTACTAGTAATAACTTGTTCATATATGGTAGTATTTGTGTTAACTTACATCATTCATCGTCTTATATGGTAGTAAATCTGCCCAATCCAACAGCCGAATCCTCCTCCAGGTAATAGCCCTAGGAATATCATTTGATTTTTTTTGGCATATGTCCGCATGCTGGGAAAATCCTCAAATATCCAAATATACAAACAATATAATACACAAACATTAATTTTAGTAATTGTTAAATAATTAATTATAATTTTGGAAACATTATATATAAATTCTTACCTTAAAGGCCCAAATAAAGCCTACCAAAGTGTATTTGGAACCATGGCCACGCAAACTACGACGGTCCTCAAAGGCATACGACAACTTTTTCCAGGTAGTTATCCATAGATATGAATCCCACAGAAACATGTTTCATGCATTTAGGTCCCCTACCAATAATATTAAATCCTCATAAATAAGTTGTCTGCCCTCTTTGCCTAAAAAGTCGGTATTCAAAAGTAATAAAAGGCATACTCGGACAATATCAAGGTCATCCATCCGAGTAAAACCATCTTGAAGAAGTAATATTTTCAAATCGTCGACGTGTAAACCGGGCTTCGCCTTTGCCAGCTCAGGATAAACCCGAAATAACCATGATGGGCGGGCGATATGACTAGTGAACCGATCTACTTCATCGTGTCGTCCGAAATGTAGACCAGTGATTAAGCAAAACTCCTCCCATCTAAAACAAGTATACGCCGGTGGAAAATGAAACCATATCTCTTCATCACCACGTTGTATCCTCTCGGGTAGATCGTTAGTCATGGTCTGAAGAAACAAATGGGTCAACATAGCATCTCCACCTGGATGTTGTACTTTCAGCCATTGCCCGAAACAAATATTCTCAAACAAATTTCTTTGTACAGGTGTAAGTGTCGACGCAATTGTAGTGGCTAGGCTTAATTTATTCCTTAAAGTCAATGAAGCCGAAAAAAATTCCTAACAAAAACAATAAACATACCAAGTTAGATATAGCAAAAACTAGAAATTATACACTATAAACAAACATGATATTAAACAGGAAAAATATAGCCAAATATGTTTCAAACTAGCACGGTATTCACCCAAGTCATTATTCTATCATAGTTCACAAAATGCATCAGATAACATTCCATAAGTAAGCACTTATATAAACATTTAAAAGGACAACATATAGGTTTAGTGCATGTTCAAGGACAACATAAAGAGTAGTACTTTATTCTTGAAACTTAAATTCGCAACACTGTGAAGTTAGTATTTGTCTTTGTTTTTTGGTTGAAGTAATGCAATTCATTCAAGTTTCAATTTGTAGAAGAAGAGTAGTTTTTGAAACTTAAATTCGCAACACGAAAATGAAATTCGCAATGCGAAACTAAAATCGTGTTGTGATTTTCATTTTCGCGTTGCGATTTTCGTGTTGCGAATTGAATTTTCAAAAACTATTCTTCTGCAAATTGAAACTTGAATGAATTGCATTACTTCAACCAAAAGACAAATACTAACATCACAGGGTTAAAGACTAAACAATTTAACAGTATTGGCAGCAACCGAATGAATTTACTAAGCAATCTAAGTGAAATGGTTAATCTATATATTGAAATTACCAGTAAATTTATCATCAATTTAAATATGAAAAATCTAATAATAATACAAAAATTTCAAAATAAAAATAATTAAAAAAACTAACCCTCGGTGGTTGATTTTCCATTTGTGGCCGTGAATGGTTGTGAGAGGGTGGCTCTGAGAGATGGAGATAGAGGGGGGTCACCGGATATGGGGACAGATGTCGCCGGAGATGGGGACGGATGTCGCCGTAGAGAGTGAGAGATAGAGATGGGACTGAGTTTTGATTTAGGGTTTTAGATTATTAGTTGCAATTATACTGTTTACATTTGTGTTGCGAAATTAATATTATGTTTCAAATTCGAAAATAAAATTCGCGTTGCGAAAATAAACGCGCTTTGCGAATTTGACTTCTGTGTTGTAAATTACAAATTCGCGTTGCGATTTACCGATTCGCGTTGCAAATTTGGAAAATCGCGTTGCGGAAAAGAAATTCGAGTTGCGAATTTCAAAACTGAGTTGCGAATCTGGGAAATTCGTGTTGCGAATTTGGAAACTATGTTGTGAAATTGGAGTTCACGTTGTGAATTTGAGATCGTGTTGCGAATTTGTTGGTCATTTTCGCAAATCCAAAAAAAGTTGGTTAAAATCGTATATTATAAGGCATTTTCGGTCACTGAAGTTATTTTCTCCTTTTTTAATTACCCAAATAATGCATCCAGGGAATTATTTCCCAGGATATGTCATTTTCTACAGTGAGCCATGAAGACGCATTGCAATCTCTGCGCCACCCTTGAAGACACCAAGATTTACAGGCGTCTTTGAGCCACAGTGAAGACACGTGGAAATCTTCGTGTTTTGGAGATGAAGACCCAAGGATTACTAGGCGTCTTCAAGTTATGAATACACCCCGCAAAGCTACACCATTATAGTCCGTGCACGGGGAAATCAAATTAGTACAACAGGGTCATGAAGGGTGAAATCAAATCAGTGTAGATGCCTCAGTGAAGGCAACCCTATATTTTGAACGAATATACCGATCACCAAACAACGATAATGACCAACTAAATAAACGTCCTTGATATCCCACTTGTTTTCTTTCACTGGTTTCTTCAACACTCACTTTTTTTATTCTCTTTCAACTCACTACAGTAAAAATGTTCTACATAGGTGTTTTTAGTGGTGTTTTGAGAGTAAACGTCACTAACTTTAAGTATATAGCGGCGTTTACATTCCAAACGCCACAAAATGGTAATTTTAGCGGCGTTTTTATACAAAACGTTGCGATAGAGTAGTACTTTAGCGGCATTTTTATACAAACACCGCAATAGGTTCATCCATAGTGGCATTTTTCAACAAACGTCGTGATAGAATAGTTTTTAGCGGTGTTTGTATAAAAACGCTGCAATAGAGTTTATCTATAGTGGAGTTTTTTCAACAAACGCCGCAATAGAGTAGTACTTTAGCGACATTTTTATACAAACACCACAATATGACTCCTATGACCGAATGAAGCTGTAGAAATTATGGTACATTGATTGGACTCAACATTTGAATTATGTTATATTTATATCTATAGTATGACATTTTTATTTTAAATAATTATTGAATAGATTATTAGGAAAAATTGAGTAATAAAAGGGCGAAGTATGAAGCTACAACTTCAAGTCATGGTATTGTTAATGCGGATGACATCGAAAATCAAGTTATTAATGAAGTTTTGTGTCCTGAAAGATATGGACGGGTTTACTGTCAAGGATCATTCGTTACTCCAACCAAATATTTTGGTTCCAGTTCATCTCAATACATGTCATCATAGAGTCAGTCTTCCTAAATAGAAGTTAGTTGTTTAAAACAACAGTTGGCTGAAATTGATCAAAAAGTTGCTCAAATGAAAATCGAAACTGAAACGAGGGAAGAAGATAGAGAAACAACATATCAGAAAAAATGTGAAGACTTTGAAAATCGACTTCAAGCTATGATGCAGATGATACGACAAAATCAACCCCAGATATGCCTATAAATGAACTGAACGTTCAGTGAACCGTTCATGAACCGTGCGGTGGGAAGTTCATTTATTTATTAAATGAACGAACATGAACAAGATTTTACGTTCGTTTAATTAAATGAACAAACACGAACAAAGGGCTCATTCGTTCATTTTTGTTCATTTATGTTCGTTCATTTATGTTCGAACAGATGACAAGTTGAATATTTTACGAAGATTATTTAAGTTGTTTGGATTTCAAGAAGATTGTTTTTGTTGAACAAATTAACTTTAAGACTTTATTATGTTCATATAGTTTATTTATGATTTATGTATGTTTTTTTCGTATTCAAACAAATTATCTCTAAAGTTGCAGTTTATTTTAATGATTTTTAAGTTGTTATTCTTGTTGTTTACTCTTTTTTACATTCATTTGTTGTGTTCGAATAAGTTTGTTTTTGTGTTTGTGTTGTTCGTTTACGTTCATTTATTATGTTCGTTTATGTTCATTCGTTTGTGTTCGTTTACGTTCGTTTATCATTTAAATGAATGAACATGAACAAACATGAACGAACATGAACAAGTTATATTCCTTAATGAACGAACATGAACAAAAAAAATTGTTCGTTTATGTTCGTTTATTTATTAAATGAACGAGCATGAACACCTTCGTTCGTGTGCGTTCGGTTCGTTTACAGGCCTAACCCCAGAGTCCACCATCTTAGGTGTTATGTTAGATATATGCTTTGTTTATTCTAGTTAACAATGTTGAACTACATTATATTTTTATATTAATGCAAACTTTAATTTATTATTATGGATTTCAAGTTAGTTGTTATGGATGTTAAGTTTGTTGCTATCGATGTCAAGTTTATTGGATAATGTTGCAAGTTAAAAATTTAAATTTGGGTAACAAAAGAGCATAAAACACCATATGAAAAATTAGTTTTATTTAGCGGCGTTTGTATAAAAAATGCCACTAAATACATACTCAATACCAGCGTTTTAGGAAAAAAAACGCCACTAAAGTTCTAGATCTTTTGCCGCGTTTATACAGAAAATGCCACTATAGCCATAGTCAATAGCGACGTTTTACATTCACAAATACTACAAAAAGAAAAGATGTATAGCGGCATTTCTCAACAATGCCGCTAATCATAACCTTTAGCAACGTTTGTAGAAAAAACACCGCTAAAAATCATAACCTTTAGTAGCGTTTGTCGTCCACAAACGCCGATATCTTTTACGACATTAGTTTTAGCAGCTCTTTTTGTTTCGCCAAAAGGGTTTTTAGTGGCGCTTAGAAACGTCGCTATATGACTGAAAAAACGCTGCTAAAAACTTGTTTTACTGTAGTGACTACACAACTTTTTTATGTCTTCACGGGTAAGCAAACAAACTATCCCCACCCCAATATATAATATTACAACCCTCACCAACCCAACAAAACCAAACAATTAATTCCCATTCATGTGCCAATTTTGCATGCATCACGGGCATGCTGCAAGCAACTGTGCTGCACGGACCCAGGCTTCACGGACTGCATGCATGAAGGCTACACGGGCGACAATGGTGCAGGTGCAGGCTTGAAGACGCATGGTAATCCCCGTGTCTTTATCTCGAAAACTCAGGGATTACACCACATCTTCACTATTGTTAGTTTTGGCTCAAAAACGCCTAGAAATCCCATCGTCTTCATCAGCTCGCGACGACTACACAACGTCTTCACGGTTTAATGTAGAAAATGGTCTATCCTTGGAAATAATTCCCCAGGTGTATTATTTAGGTAATTAAAAAATTAGGAAACATTATCCCGAAAATTTTGCTTGACAAAGATATTGATTAAATTGGACACATAGTAAATTTTGGAGTTCAAACTATGAAGCTTAAGGAACTTAAGGATTAGTAGCATGTTTTCTGAACATATAAGTGAACATGTTCCCGAAAGCTAAACAACCATGTTGTGAATACTAAACAAACCAAAAACGAATATCTTCAAAAATAAATAAACGAACATGAATACGATATTGAAAATTTAAACGTATGCAAAGCTAACATGAACACATTCAAAAATAAATAAACGAACTTGAACACGACCTTATTTGTTCAAGTCCGATTCATTTACACCACTACTATCAACAGGCTAAGTGGATATGATTAGCTGGCAATATATTTGACTTCGATAAATCACGTTAATTGCCAAAGGTGGTGTAAAAAATTTGCAGCTTCACACGGAGTGTTTAGTGTTTTAGATGCTCTCTCGAGATCGGTCGGAGGTTTGAAAGAATGAAGATTCAGATAAGGTTGCCGAGACCAGTGTCATATCTTTAGGCATTTTGGTTTAACGCATTAAACATTTGTATGTATCGAAACAGAAACAAAATATACATAATTAGCATCACAATCAATTTTTATTTGTTAAGACACAAAGTTAAAACATAATGGAAAACAAATATAGAGAACAATATAAATTAATTTGGCTCTGATATCTGATCCTTGTTGGTCTTTTTTTTTTCCTTAAGCCTTTTGCTTTTCTTGTTCTTTTTCCTTCTTCAACGGAACACGACCATCCGTTCCGGCAAGCATAGCATACTTGTCCTTCCTAGTCAAGTTGGTGCACTCGAACCCCAAAGTGCCACCGAGCACCCTTTGTATGTAGTTTGCAACTTCAATTGCAGGCTTTCCACCGTTGCAAGTCAGCTCTGCCGGCAGCTGGTTCAAGAATGTGATCTCGTAAGTCGGCATTGGGTTCATGAACACTAAGTAAGGATCCAACAATTTGTATCCCCGGACAGTTGTTCCGTGAAAAACCGATTGCCTTGCGTTGATAGCGACCGGCACGATTCTGTCAGTGAGTCCAGCAAACAATGCACTGAATCTCAGCAGAAATGGTTCTCTGCAGGTAGTCCCTTCGGGGCATATAACCAAGTCGCCTTCTTTTAGAAGGCGCTTGATGTTAGCTGCATCTTTCTCTCGTTCCCTCGATAAAGCGACGGCTCGAATGGGGGAAATAATCTCGGTGAACTTGCTGATACTGTAAGTAACACAACTGATTTTTCGGCCTAAGGCGACCGCCGTCACAACCGGGTCTAAAACCGTTCTATGGTTACAAACAAACAGGACACCACTTTGGCCTTTCTTAGGTGCAGGTGGAGGGGTACCCTTAACAATCAACTTGATGCCTAGGATCTTGTAGTTGTACCAAGCAATTCTCTCAGGCAAAGGGATGTTAAGATAGACCCTTTCACAACGGGTCTAAAACCGTTCTATGGTTACAAACAAAACAGGACCACTTTGGCCTTTCTTAGGTGCAGGTGGAGGGGTACCCTTAACAATCAACTTGATGCCTAGGATCTTGTAGTTGTACCAAGCAATTCTCTCAGGCAAAGGGATGTTAAGATAGACCCTTAGTAAAGAGAGGATGAAGCCAATAGGTAACCATAGAAAGGTCAATAGGGCAGCCAAGGGGGTTGGTCTTTGTACCAAACGTCCTTCATGAAATATAACAGGGCTTAGAAGCTTGGTTCTCGGTAATGGCTCGCATTTGGTTCTTGGCACCATGTATCCTTCCTGTATTGGGCAAACTTTATAAAAATTTTAAGGGAGACCAATTTATAAAATTTTATGGACGAAAACAAAATATAAATAGAAAATATAAAAAAACATCTAAATTATATGAGAATTTAAAATTTTTAGAAGGACCGACTGTCTCAGCCAATACTCTTCTGTCTATCCCTGATCACAAGGATAGTACCCACTAGTAGGGCGTGTAAAAGTTGATTCTAGTAAAAAAAAATGTCCTGGAAATTGTGAAATTGCATGTAGTGGTTGAGAATTAGGGAACCTTGTGGACCACTGATTTAAATTTTGTTAACTAAAAAGAGGCCCGCAAAAGTAAAGGAAAGACATAAGGGGACATTATACGGGTCATAAATGCTCCCACCAACCCCATTGTAAGGACAAAGATAATCTTATGTGTCTCAATTATGACAGGAAAAGAGGGTGTGGGAGTTAGTTAATGAAACGAACCTTGCATAATGACATGAAACGATGGTCAGTTTCTCTGTCTCCGATGCCTAAATCAGGCAAATCTGTGCCAAATTCCTTCAAGATGGCAGCCCTTTTGTGTTCACCAACGAGAACTCCCGGTTTAATGGTGAAACCGGTCGCCCTGCCTGATTTCGTCACGTTCAGCTCAGTTCCAATAACCTTGTCTGCACCTAAATACGTCTTCGCAAATGGTTCCACCATGATTCTAGGAGTTGCAGTAATAATGTATCTTCTCCCAAAGGAGCTGAAAACTCTCCAGGTCTTGGGATGAACATCGTCGGCATAAAACTTGGGCAACACCGACCTCGAAACGAGCTCGATGTCTCTTATTTTCAACCCAGCACAGGAGATGAAAACGAATGTGCTAATGGCTGCAGATTCGGATACGAACAAGTACGTAAAATACACGAACGGAACGGATGCTAAGAGGAGGAGTGCTCTTATAAGGCTGCCAGCTTCAAGAGCAATAAGCATGTAATAAGGGAAAGCACTTGGTGATACGAGAAGGGTTCCATCTAAATCTGCAGCAACGGTCTGATTCGACCTCCCCTCGGTGCTACATTTCGAAATAGAAGGAAAATTACACCGGCGTGCCCCCATGACCATAGGAAGAAAATCAGCAGAGGAAGAAAAAAGATGGCAATTGGCAATGATATTGTTGAAGCTGTTGGTTGGCTTTATGTAGCATGAACAAACTGTGGTTGAGACCAAGAAAACAACAAGGAAAGCCGATAGTTTTTCATTAAAAAAAGGGAAAACTTAATGAAAAAATCGAATAATGACTGTTTACAAAAATGAATATTATATATTTTACGTATAAATATGGGCAGTTGTGAAGGGTAGGGGTCAGAGTAGTTGGAGGTCTACACCAACACGCGCATTTCATTCAATTAGCCTACTTTTTAGTTTCCAGATGCCGGCCACGCCGCTTAATAAAATATTCGACCAATAATCGGTTGATCTAATGAGATGAAATATCAAATTCTTTAAATAAAGTCAATAATTCGAATTTTAACGTCGTAAATAGAAGAAAATTTGAGTTGGAAAAATTATCTCATTACATCTGTACACTACATTACTCGATAAGGATTAAGCGATAAATAAATAAGATATCAACTTTTTTTAAAAAAAAATATGCTCTTCTTGGCTCAAGTTGGAGTAAAAGGGCTCTTCTTTCGTGTGTGTTATAGCTAATTTTCTGATTACTTGTTTGACTTACGCACTCCATTTGCATAAACCAAGGAGAAAAATCTATGTTATTAAGTCACGGTGTATCAAAATTAGGTTGGAAAGTTAGCTATGTCTTGTCAAATTTCGGGTTATATAACACTAATTCAAGGGTAAATTACATATTTAGTCACCTAACTATTCATGCAGTTCCATTTTAGTATTCAAATTATTCTTTTTAAATCATACCTATCTTTACATTTTTGTTTTATTTTGGTCAGTCAATTGTTAAAAACTTAATAGAACTATTGACGTAATAATTTTTGAATGATTATTTGGTATTATCTTATTGTGACACATTAGCATCACCGTTAATTTGTTAACAACAAGTGACTAAAATGAAACGTTTAATATGATTCTAAAAAAACGAATGATCAAAAAAATTATACGAATAGTTGAACAACTAAATATGTAGTTTACCCTAAATTCAAAAATAGTAGAATAATTACAAACTCTTTTTATTGATTTCCATGTGGAATTTGAGCCTAGAAGAAAAGAAGCAAGCATTGATGGGATAACATGGGGAAAACTAAATGAAGTATAGCAGCTAATTTTTAGTGCAAAACATTTAATTCAATAGATCTGAAAGGAGAAAAAAAAATAAGTGGACACGGCTTCTGCACTTCAACCAGCTGGAGGTAGCTAAAATGGCTTAATATTTACTTCACTTTCCTCACCATTTGGAAGCACCATCAAAGCACACTCCCCCATCCCCGTCAAATTTAGTTTTAAATAAAATTAGATTTTAATATAATTCTACTCGTTGAAAATTATTCTGTGAATAAATTTATTTAATTAATTTCTTTTATAAAATAATAATTATTGATGGTCAAATATTTGATTTTTAAAATTGTGGGAATGAAATTATTTTTAAAAAATGTAACTCATTTGTAGTATATGTAATTTATGAGACTTGTAAGAATGTTGGAGTGTTTTGAGATACACATGATTTGGGTATATATATCAGGTTTGAAATACACGTGATATCATGTATTTATATTGTATTTTATCTCTATGTTTATGACAAGCATCGTAATTGTCTATCAAACAAGTTTTTTACTCAGATAAGTAAGCTTTAAAAGTAGAATAGGGAAGAAGGGGTCGACCCATAGGGATTCATAAATTTCTAATTTTGAATTGATTTGATATTGATCAGGAAGGATTGAAAACAATAAAAAATAGAAAAGAGGGTTAAGAATAATTAAATAAATTGAATAAAATAAAATAAATTAAATCAATAAAAACAAGATTTTGTTAGAAAAATTAATTATGATAAGAGATAGCATCTAGCTTCGCATTGCTTCAATCTGTCCGATCACTGAATAGGTTTTACTTCGGATACCTACCAATTATAGTACAAGACCCAACTCTTGTAACTTGCTATTCTCTTCGGTGAATTAATTTTCAAAGACAATCTTTGAAATTAATCCTTGTTTGGATTAACAACGACTTAACGTCAATTGCTTTAGGAACTGGAAAAGTGTTAGAATATCTGATAAATATTCTATAGTTGTACATATCTATTTTTGTAAAGGAGATAATCTTGTGAATATATGCCTTATTCTTTGCTAATTAGTTCCTAATTTCTAGACTTATAATACTCAATGTACAATGTATATATTCTGACGTTTCTAATTGAAATAAAGCACATTACAATCTTTCATGGTATCAGCCTTCTACGATCCAAAATCTCCCTAATAAACCACCTCTTTTTCCCCATCTTTTTCTTCTTCCGCTGCACTCTCAAATGGCCTCATCACCTAAGTTTCATCCCGCTCTCACTATAACCAATATTAAGTCCCTAATCCCTATCACATTGGATACAGAGCACGGTATGTATCATTTTAGGGTGGCCTTGTTCAAGGTTCTTGTTAGGGTTCATGATTTACATCACCACATTATCCCTCCTACGGAGAAAGAGGAAATCACTACCTATGTCGCATCCAAAGCCACCGACCCGACCTTATGGAAGTGTCTTGATGCTGCGGTACTCCAGTGGATTAATGGGACTAACTCCACGGACCTCCTTCATGTTATCTTGTTAAAGACGACACCGCTCAAAGTGCGTGGTCATGCCTCGAATCGATGTTTCAGGACAACAAGGCTTCTCGGGCTACCCACCTTGAAGAAGAACTTGCAGACCTTGATTTCGGCAATTTCTCGTCAATTAATAGCTATTGTAATCACATCAAATCCTTGGCCGATCGCCTTGTCGATGTTGATGCCCCTCTCTCCAACAGTAGATTGGTTCTCAAACTGACGACCGGGCTGCCTGAGGCCTATGTCGGAACGGTTAACATAATTCAAAACCAAGAACCGTTGCCCTCCTTTGAAAGTTGTCGATCTTGTCTCAAGCTTGCGGAGCGGACCATTAAGAATCGCTTGGCGAAGAAAAGAAGCTCCGGCAACCAAGCCGATCTTGTTGCAGACTCGGATTCCGGCACCTCTGCTTCATCACGTTCGACATCTAAGGGGAACAAACCAAAAAATCGAACACTAAGTCTTCTGGGAAGAACAAGAATGGAAATGGCTAAGTGGGCCAACAATAACATGGGCTTGTTCCATTCAATTGGCAGCAATAACCATGGGCCAGATGGGCACCTTGGTTGGCTCAGTGGCCCTGTAACACCCCCACCCTGTACCCGACCCGGATACGAGTTTGAGGTGTCACATTGACTTTTCAAACTTTGACTCTGGACAAAATTCAAAGAAAATTTAAAACTTACATTAAAATAAAAGTGATTTATCTACATAAATTGACCAATATAACCAAAATCGATCAGAGCATATTCAACTCAATCACTTAGTAAATGCCAACTATATTCAAATTAACCAAACACATTTAAATCATCTATTTTATGATCTGAAATTTTGTAAGGGAGATGGTGACCTGTCTTGCTCTTCTTTGCTTCTCTTCTCGCTTCTGTAACCTACGTGTGAAACAATCACATGCTAAGTCTATGACTTAGTGAGGAAATAAACATAAAATGTAACTATAACTTGTAATCATGCATGAACTATTGCTGCTATCACTCATACACTTATTCATGTAACAAATCCCTATAACACATATGCAATATATCATTACATGTAAGAACATATATACACACATATACTCATCATTTCCATCATTAGCCTCATTTCATTATCAATATCATTATTATTTATCTCACTTCGTACATATCCTCTTATACCTAGTATTTTAACCCACATTTGACTCATTTAATCATACAATCCACATATCATCATATAACTCATATAATACAATTCATAGCACAAAAGCATACAAATCACATGTAATATGTTTGTTGTTATTTCTTTATTAGCCCATGTATACATGTGAGAACTATAGATATGTGAGTCTATAGAGGTTGTGCACAAATGTTGTCACCACAGCTCGTATAAATGCACCTAAGTACCACGTAGATTTGCACCGAAGTGCCATATAAAATGTCCTTAAGGACCACGTAGAAAATTCCTTTAAGAATCATATATATATACAAAGGATCAAGTATGTGTCTCAATAGACATCACACATGTTCCAAGGAATACATATATGTCCCGAAGGACCGCGTACACCATCGACTCTTGGCATGCCAACTATACCCCTAGCTTTCATGACACATAACATGGGCATTATTATTTATGTCATTTCATATTCACACATTCATAACACTTATCTCTTATCACATGTCTGATCTCTTATAATCATGTAATCACATAGCTCATGTCATTTCTTGTGAAATCATACATATCATGTAAGACATATCAGACATGTACACACAAATCACTTCCATATAATTCACACGATTATTATCTCGTAGATCATATCACATTTTCATAATTTCACAATTCATTGTCATATATGGATATCATATTTGTACTTAATCACATAGATAATGTTATATAGCACTAAAATCCCACAGTTACTATTTCGTAGCTTATATATTGTTCTCTTATGCTTACATAGATCTTATAACATATATTGTAGCAACTAACATATATCACTTATATAAATTCATTTATATACAAATTTCTTATATTCTCTTAATTCAAGTTTACATTACTCCCTATGACTTCATAGATCTTTACCATGTAATTTCTATATCATAGCTCATAAGCACATCAATCTTTCTCATACAACTTATCTCTCTATGATTATCATTTATATACAAATCTCCTAATTGATATTCTATTTTCATATTGTCATATAAATCAATGCTAGTTAGTTTATCTCACTTTTCATTTAATACTATAACTAAATTATAATAGTTTCCATAAACTGACTCATGTAATTTATGTTTGCTATTATATCTTCATCTAAACTTTCGTTTCCATATAACCCATCATATATAATTTACACCTCATAACATATAATATGAACAAAGCATATAACATAATACAAACTTAATCATGCTTCTATTCATGCAAACATATAAAATATTGGAAACAGACTTATCACAAGTCTAATCCATATCATAATAGCACAATCTAATATATGCACTCACATTGGCCTCACTAAGTTCCAATCCAC